AAAGATTCCGTTACTTTGTTGCTGAAAATGCAACAATTTTAGCTTTATTAGAAGAACCTCTTGGGAATGATCAGGATCCACAACCAACAGTAACGGTTTTAATACGTGGACCATTTGGTAGACATGCATGGACTCTACAACTACGACATTTGCCACGACATAGATCTAGTATTAGAAGTGTTAATACAAATCCTGGTCGACCATTACCATTAAATGAAGCAGCACCAAGAATGGATTATAAACCAAAATTTTTCCCTGACAATGTTGATAGAATCCCTCACTGTAAAGTGTATGTATTGTTATCACTAATTTTTTTAAAACTGTATTATAATATCTAATATACTATATTCTATTTTAATCTAATCTAATCTATTCTAATTTAAAAATATAACAAATATATGTTAAAACAGAGATGAGTCAATACCTAGTCTCGAGGCTGTTATGAACGATAACGAATCAGTTAGAAGTGAACATGAGTTGTTATCACAATTTTTAGAACGTCAGATAAATTTAGAAAAAAAGTATGACGATGTCAATAATAAAGACATAGATGAAAAAACTGAAGAATGTGCACCACCACAAATATGTCATGAATTCCAAACAGCTCGTTTATTTTTAAGTCATTTTGGTTTTCTCAATATTGAAAATAAAGGTAGCGAAGAGTCCGGAAATAGTACTCTTACTGCTTTAGATCCTACTATTCCAGGATTTTGTACAGATTTGGAAACATTAGATAATATTAGTTCAAGAACCTGTGATACCGTTCATATATTTTATGTCAAACCAGGTCAAAAAACAGCACCTGAAATATTATCCAACGTAGTAAGAATTTAAAATATTTTTTATTCTTTTAACTTAATGTCTTGCTGGAATAAAAATAAACGTTTTAAATAGAAATAACATATGTTAATAAATGTTAATATTTTCCAGCTTAATGAAAAAAATGTATCGCCAAATTTTTTGGAATTTCTTAATTCACTTGGTTGGCCAGTATCAGTTTCTGCTCATGCCGGTTGGACTGGTCATATTTATACCTCATGGAAAGTAACTCCACAAATGAATGTTTCGCAGTCAAGTACTAATGATCATGGTGGTTCTCTTTACAATGGTGATACACATGTATTATATTGGGCTGATGTTAGTGCAGAAATTGCATTTGTTGTACCAACACAATCATTTATAATGACAAATTCAGATTCGTTAGAAGAAGCTAGTTATACTAGTGATACTAGTAATGGTGCTCAGTGTAAGTATCATAAAATTCATCAAATAATAGTGTTAGTTATTTAGTTTTTAATAATTTTAACATGTTTTGCATTGATGCAGCTTGGTTTGAGAGAAGTATTAGTGAAAGTGGAGGATCTCGCTCATGCAGTATTCCGCAGAATGCAAGAACAATGTCGCTTGATTTTGAAAAGCAACCATCAAGTTTTTCAGGCTCAGGTCCTCCTAGTTCCTCAAGTGCGGATCCTGTTAGACCAAGAAGAACAACAAAACATGCTTTACCAATACAAACAGATACAAGGATTATGGTGGTATGGCTAGAAAGCTTGGAAGATTATACTCACTTTCCAATTGGTATGAATTATTTATTAATATATATTTATATCGTATATTTTTAATAAAATATTTATCATTTATTTTATAGGAGATCTTCTACCATTTACGCATACTGGTTTAGAATATTGTAGAACAGTTCAATCTACTGATGTACAAGTCATTTTTCTTCAGTCCCTTGCTAGCGGACTCATGAGAGTTAGATTACAAGGTCCAACTTCTAGGATAAATTTAGCCACTCCATTAATTGATGGCATGGTTGTATCTAGAAGAGTATTAGGTACTCTTGTTAGGCAAACAGCATTAAATATGGGTCGGCGTAAAAGACTTGATAATGACAGGTAATTATAGAGGTATTTTTTCATGATTCATTCTAAATTCTTTTGTTTGAAAACTAAATTATATTTTTTTTCATTTCATAAAATTGTAACTTATTATTTTCTCTATGTAGTTATATGCTTTGTTTTATTTTTTTTTACAAATTCATTACATTCTTTTACTTTTTATAGCTATCATCCACCACATGTTAGAAGGAGATTAAAAATTCAGGATATGGTTCAGAAATATAAGAGAAATTTATCTGAACCAGAATTATTAACAGTTTTATTTAGCAGTACCGAAACTGCTTCTTAGATTTTTATGGGATCAATATTTCTTGAATAATAAATATATTTCTAATACACTTCATTTGGAAATCAAGATCTTGATATTTAAAAAAAATAATAATACCATAAAAGTATATAAAAATTGCACACAAAAGTAAATTATATGTATTTACTTTAATTATAATCAATTTTTTCTGTATGATTAAACTTAAAACGTTTTACATTTATGATATTTAAATCAACAGGCTTTTTTAAACAACATTAAAGCAATATCAATAATCGAACCTTTTTTTTACAAGGATATAAACATTTGTTATAATTTTGGTTAACTAGCAATCAAATTAGTTTGTACATATTATTAAAACATATAAAAAGAAGTTTAAATTAACTTATTATCACTTGAAAAATATTAAAACATTAAAAACATACACATATAATAATATTAAATTCAATAATAAAAATTTAAAAAATAAAACAATATTTTACAAATTATTTCAATTATATATTTAGATTTAAATACGTAAGAAATTAATAAATAATCTCATTATACAGATAAAAATATAAAAGATATTTTACTTATTATTTATATATAGATAAGTACAATAAATAATTAAACATTTACTGTAACGAATTTCAAGGAGAATTCATTACGATTATAGTGTAATGATCGCATGATTATGTCATACAGATTTAATTCTTTCCTTTTCTTTGTTCGTGTATTTATGTAACTATTCTTTCATTCCATCAAATGGGGGTCAAATGGATAAATTTAAGTGATGTCTCGAAACAATTTGACCATGGTTCTATCAGTTCGTTTGAAATCTTTTACACATACATTTTGCGTTAAAGAATAAAAAGATAATATTACAATTTTAACATTAAATATATATATTATAAACAATTAAATAAATAAGAAATAATTTCTTAATTAAAAAAATTAACGCACGATTATATCAATAGTATTTGTATTTTTTTTAGTTTTACAATTAGTAAAAAGTATTTTTTTGAGATTCTTGCTATTCATTGAGAAATTACTAAGTGTTATTAAATGAGTCTATTAAAATAAAATAATATTGCTCAATTAAGGCAATATACCGTTCGATTAGGTACTTAAAAGGAACTATAGAACATCATATATACTCGTATTATTGATATTACGAGTCACGATAGATAAGTTGATCGATCGATACTTATCATCCATTCTGATCAAGAATGATTAATCAGATTAATTCGTCATAAAGAAGAAAACAGCTTGTCATTCTTAAAAAATATTTCTTACAAAAAAAATTAAATTTTCTTTATTAGCAATGACATGTTGAAAATTAATTGGATATATTAATATCTCAAATCAAATCCAAAAAAATAAATAATTCAACTTAAACACGTTATCAAAACTTAAATGTATATATATAATATGTGCTTTCTATATCGTAAAATAAAACATATTCTCCACAATTCAATATCTGTATTCTGTAAATCAAAAACTGCACAGTCATTAATTATTGTGTTAGCTCAACCGTGTTAACTCTTAGAGAAGAAATATATCTTTTATATCGTTCTAAAGTGGCATAAATCATTGTCATTTATATCAATCTCTCATACTATTTGTTTTCCGAATTAAATAATAATTTTGTTATATATTAAATAAAAAAAAAGATAATATCGAAAACAAGCCGTACATTGAATTGATATAAATTTCGATCAAATAGGGAATAGTTGAATCAATATGTAATTAAATAGTTATTATAAAATATTACACAAGTATATATTTCTACGTTTTATAATTTATCATTTTGAGATATTTCAATATAATTTGAAATATTTAAATTAATTTATTGATCGATGTATTAAATATAAATCAAAGTGAACTGATATAATTACTAAATAATCGTTTATTGGTAGAATATGATGTACATGTGCGTAAGTGTCTGAATCATGTAATATTGTGCAACATCAGAAATCAGTAGAAAAAGATCCTGTTTGCAAGACTTTCAAGGTCGGGTTCTAAATTCAAGTAATCCATGATAGTGAATACATTTTTATAAAGCAGTATACATATACATTCCGTTCAGTTCACTTTCTCTTCTTTATCTCTTTGTGAGTGTTAATACTTCTGTAACTATTTATTTATTCATAAATCATAGATACGATTTGTATAAATATTATATTTGTCGGTTTTGATAAGAAATAAAATTTGTTTAATTTACATATAATTAAAGAAGTAAGATATATAAGAATATATAAAAAAATACATTTTATAAATAATCGAAAACAGCGTCCGTTAACGAGCTGTTATGCGTATAACAAGTATCTATGTATTTTTATACCACGATAAAATTGGATAGTGAAATTAGGACTCTACGTATCTTCTACTCAACATCTTTTTTAATTTTATATCCATATTGATAGGTGGGAGACGTAAGGAAACAAAGTTTTTGTAACTTTCTTTTGTGTATAAAATAGATAAAAGATAATAAGCGAGACATAATTGGCTGCAAATACGACTATTGCACAAGAAAGTATTATAAAAGATGTTATATAAACACCTACTATATAATTAAAAAAAGAAATAAGAAAGAAATTATAAACATTTATTTATATGCATACACGTGAACTATAAATATCATAGTAATTATTATTTGTCAAAGAATTTATTTTATATTAGTAAATGCGATGCAGTCAACTATCTTAATATATTTTTTTTTTCTCTTTTATTAAAACAAATTATATTTTTATATAAGAAAAAAAAAAGATAAAGGAACTAAATAAGTATCGTAAATACATCAAAAGTCGTATTCTTGTAAAAGGAAAAGAAAAAAAATATATCAAGATAACAATTGCACAATTTAAAATGTTACAATCAATGTCGCGTTTAAATGACATCATCTAAGCAATCCCATTGGATGAATTCCTCTGCAGTGACTGAGTTTATTAATGGAGCCATCTGTCGGCCATTTTAAAGTTTCATCCAACGGGGATTCGTGTTAGTGGTCGCAGAGTTCAATGTAGCGTGAACGCAATTTATTGCAGTCATTGTTTGTTCGTTAATAAGAGATGTTGGATGTGTTGTTCGTAGTTTTGTGACTTCTTCAGAAAGAGAAAGAGAGAGAGAGAGAGAAAGGAAAGAGATAGAGATCGAAAATCAAGACTGAAGAAAGAGATTTGATTTAATATTAACGAATAGTCGATAGACAGAAATTCTAAATTACATCTCGTGCGTTAGGTGAGTGTTGTGTGACTGTGATAATATATTTCTTGTTGGCTACTTTTTTTTTCTCACAATTTACTTATATCTTTTCGTTTTTCTTTTTTTTCTTTAATCACGCGGCAACGGTGACATGCATTTATGCGTTGTAATAAAAAAAAAAAGATGGAAACGAATAGATGATAATGGGATGATTGAGGGGTGGCAGGAAAGAGGGGGAGAAAAAGAGAATGAAAGAGAGAGAGAGAGAGGAGTGAGAGAGAGGTGTATTGGCCTCGAATAGCATGTGCCATATAATTCTACAATTTTTACAAATTCTTTTTACCTAGATTCTTGAAGATAGTCATACCTATTAACATCAAGAAATATCCAAGGAAAGATCAGTGAAAGATTAAATGTATCGATATGGAAAATCAAACTATGGATCAATTTTGCGGATCCAAATTTTGGGTGAGTTTATTAATACTTTATTTATTTGTTCTCTTTCTATTTAACACTTATAGAATTTCTTTATCTTCCTTGAAATAATAACTTTGTTTCAACACAGAAATATGCTTTCATTATATTTATACTAACGTAAAAATAAATGAATTTTAAAAGAAAAGTTTATACCATAAGCAATATTTTTATTATTTATTTTATAATATGGAAGAATTACATTTTTTGTCAACAGTAATAAAATGTATGCTTTTTATACTTTTCTTTTTTTTTAAAGATGAATTTTAATGGGGTATAAAAACGTTTTTGTTCACTTATTAATTAAGTAACTATTATATAATCTTTATTTTCAATGCTATTTTCATCCCTTGGTTTAACCCTCATCCCTTAAAAAAGAAATTAATCATAATCTAATATTAAAATATTTTTAATACCTAATTTGTTTTTTTTTCTTTTTTCTTTTTAATAAAATTCTTACGAAAGTTATGCGTTTGTTAGCAACACTCATACATTAGTTATGTACAATTAATGAATAAAAAAATGTTGAAATTAAAATGAAATTTATATTTTAGGATGCTAATTTAACATGGAACACGGATGATCCAGATCTGACAGAATGTTTTCAAAAAAGTGTATTAATATGGGTACCATGCTTGTTTCTTTGGATCTTCTCTGCTATGGAAGTTTATTATCTGTTAAATAGTAGAAGAAAAAATATCCCATACACATGGTTATATATTTCTAAGCAAGTACTTACTGCGGCATTAATTGTGCTTACAGTTGTTGATTTAGGAAAAGCAATATACAATATTCCTTATGAGACTGTATACAATGTAGATTATGTTACCCCCGTTATAAAAATAGTTAGTTTTGTAAGTATATTATTATTTTAAATACTTTTATATATATATACAGGGTGTTCAGTAACTGGTGGTACAAGTGAGTAAAATTTATTCATATAAGATTTTGTTTCCAACAAAAATAAGTTGGAAATTTTGTCGAGTATACGTGCATTTGACTGAGCTTGCAATCCGAAAAAGTTCTTGTTCGATAAGCATAAGAGTAGAACTGATATAAGAGATATTATACTGACAATGTTTGTGATTATATTAAGAAGCACAAAAATGCTCTTTGAAATATCCGAGAGTAAGATAATGAAATCTGTCGAGCTGGAAGTGAACACAAATTTTCAAACTTGTCTCCAAACGAAAGCCTTAAATTAAAAAATTCTATTCTACATTTACAATTTAGTTTTTCACGTAGAATTATATCCTGCTTGATTAGTATCATCAGTTACATGTGACATCCTGTATTTTAAATATTTTATTATTTTAAAGAAGTCTAAAGATTCTCAGATATTATAATATCTAATTATTTCAATAATATTTTTTATTTCAGGTTTTAGCAGGAACTTTACTATTCTACAATAAAAAGTATGGAATGCGTACATCAGGATTACTATTTCTATTTTGGTTTTTCCTTGTATTATGCGGTATTGTGCAATTCAGAAGTTTATTAATACGATATTCAAACGAAGTAGGTTTGCTAGCTTTCTTTCTTTCTTTCTCATAAGTTTATTAAAATAAAAATGAAAATAAAATATTATTTTTTGTTTTAGGAACTGACGTACCTGTTTGTATCATATATGATCTATTACAGTTTAGTAATGTCAATGTTCCTATTAAATTTCTTTGTTGATGCAGAGCCTAAATATTCGGAATATCCATTGGTACGATTGAAATTTATTGATTTTTTTGCTTTTATTTTTTATGACAATAAAATATGACAATCTTGTGATTAAAACATATAAATATTAATACATAATATATCTTTTGTAATAATAAATAGGTGGAAAGACCATGTCCAGAACAAAATTCATCATTTCCATCGAGACTTACTTTCGCATGGTTCGATGCTCTTGCATGGAAAGGTTTTAAAAAACCTTTAGAAGCTAATGATTTATGGTCTATGAATCCTGAAGATACCGCTACTGAGATAGTTCCAAAATTTGCTACATATTGGAATAAAATCCCTAGAAAAGAAGATAAGTAAGTATCATTATTTTTAGAAATATATATATATATATTTGTAGTTCGGTATGTTTAGCTTTGTATGTATTTAGTATATGTGTATATATATACTTATACATACAATAAAATATAGGTAAGCGCATGTAATTCAATAATGAATTATTTATTTATTTGGCTAACAAGGCTATTTTGGTCTTACTTTAGGTAAGCGCATGTAATAATACATGTTTCGATAATTTTAAAACAGAATTTTTAATAGAATTTTTTTTCTTTTTGTTCTTTTTAGTGTACAAAATGCAAAAGCGTCATTTAGAAAATCATCTGGTCAAGTTAATTTTGATAATACTTCCAAGAAGAAAGTTTCTTCTATTTTACCACCACTTTGTAAAGCTTTTGGTGCAACTTTTATATTTGGTGCGGTACTTAAACTTGTACAAGATATCATGAGTTTTATTAGCCCGCAACTATTAAAGTAAGTATAGATAAAATTGAAATAATTATTTTACCTTTTTTTATTCTAATATCAATTTATTTTTAATAACTTCTGCTGCTTCTACATAATATTGATTTTATATTTTTATTTTTTTTTCAGATTACTTATTAGGTTTGTAAGTGGTGGTGAACCATTGTGGAAGGGCTACTTTTACGCAATTTTACTCTTAATTACAGCTACGCTACAAACCTTAGTGTTATCGCAATATTTTCATCGTATGTTTTTAGTTGGATTACGTATACGTACTGCACTGATAACAGCTATTTATAGAAAAGCAATGAGAATGTCAAATTCTGCCAGAAAAGAATCAACACTTGGTGAAATAGTTAATTTAATGTCTGTCGATGCACAGAGGTTTATGGATTTGACAGCATATATAAATATGATTTGGTCAGCACCATTACAAATTGTTTTAGCGTTGTCCTTTTTATGGGAAAAATTAGGCCCAGCTGTGCTTGCTGGATTAGCTGTTATGATTGTACTTATTCCTATAAATGCATTGATTGCGAATAAAGTTAAAACATTACAAATTCGGCAAATGAAGGACAAAGATGACAGAGTTAAATTAATGAATGAAGTACTTAATGGAATAAAAGTGTTGAAGTTATATGCTTGGGAACCATCTTTTGAAGAACAAATATTGCACATTAGAAAGAAGGAAATACAAGTGTTAAAAGAAGCAGCATATCTTAATGCGGGAACAAGTTTTATTTGGTCTTGTGCGCCATTTTTGGTAAGTTAATTTTTATTTTGTATTGTAGAAAAAATAAATAATTTAAATTAAATTATTTATATTTTTTAATTTTTCATTTTAAATGAAAATATATTAATATAATATAAATTTTCAGGTTTCATTAGTGTCTTTTGCTACATATGTACTTATAGATGAAAAGAATGTCTTAGACAGTGAGACTGCATTTGTTTCACTAAGTTTATTCAATATTTTAAGATTCCCTCTTTCTATGTTACCTATGATGATAGGTAATATAGTTCAGGTAATGAGCTTAAAGCGTATAAAAAAATATAAATTATTATTTTTAATATAAATCGTGTGTGTTAATATTATTATTTTAATAATCTTATGATTTTTTCTTTATTTGCTTTAGGCTTATGTTTCCATTAAACGTATTAATAAGTTCATGAACACAGAAGAACTTGATCCTAATAATGTACAACATGATCCATCTGAATGTAAGTCAAATGTAAGATATTCTATCGTTTATTTTATTAATGAAAAATTTGGTTATAATTTGTACTTTTACTTCTTAGTACATCCATTAATCATTGAGAATGGTAGCTTTACTTGGGACATGGAAAATAACGATAAACCAATTTTAAAAAATATCAATATGACTATAGAACAAGGCCAATTAGTAGCGGTAGTTGGATCAGTCGGTTCTGGAAAGAGTTCTTTGATATCAGCTTTTCTTGGAGAAATGGACAAATTAAATGGTCGTGTTAATACAAAAGTAAATATATCAATTTGCTCTTATACTTTGTTAAATAATATTATTTTTATTATTTCTATCATAGATTTTTAATTCATTATGTTTATTTGCAGGGTTCTGTTGCGTATGTTTCTCAACAAGCCTGGATACAAAATGCAACTTTGCAAGATAACGTTTTGTTTGGAAAACCTTTAAACAAAGCCTTATACAATCGAGTTATAGATGCATGTATGTTGGGTCCAGATCTTGAAATGTTACCTGCAGGAGATCAAACAGAAATTGGTGAAAAGGGTATCAATTTGTCTGGTGGTCAAAAACAAAGAGTCGCTTTAGCCAGAGCAGTGTATAATGAATCGGATATATATTTCTTGGATGATCCCTTAAGTGCAGTAGATTCTCATGTGGGAAAACATATATTTGAAAATGTGGTAGGCCCTGGCGGTCTGTTGAAGAAAAAGACAAGGGTACACATTACGCATGATATTGTTTACCTACCGGAAGTTGACAATATCTTTGTTCTTAAAGATGGTGAAATAACAGAAAGTGGGACATACAAACAGCTTATGGACAAAAGGGGTGCCTTCGCTGAATTTCTAATGCAACATTTACAAGAAGGTATTTATCAATTACCGTATCATTTTTTAAAATTTCAATATATTGATCATTAATATTAAATTATATTTTTCCATGGGTCTTAGTTGGAAATCGTAAGTTAGTGAAAAAGTAATTACGAATTTTTGTCTACTCCTATTTATGCTATTCTTTTAAAATATTATGTTGCACTCGGCTTTAATATAATTCTTTATTCATTTATTTATTGAAAGCAGAAGTATTTTACATGAGTAGTAGCTTTCAAATTTATTCATTCATTTTTGTTTAAAAGTATACATTAAATCCGTGATTGCAGCATATATTATAGTATTGCTATAACATTATTATTTAAAAAACAAAACAAAAAAGAAATGCATGAAAAATTTTAATTAATAATATTCATTACTTATATAGCTGTGTTTCAAATCCTTTATTAAAAAGATAATATTTTTATTGAGTGTGTGTGTAGCACAATCTAAACTAAACTAATTTTAAAATATAGCATAAATTGACCCTAAATTAGCTTCTTTTAGTTATGCCTTTATCATTTTAATATTATTCAATGATATATAAATTATATTAATTATATTGTAACACCGACCTGACAAATTTGGAACAGTGCACACTGATGATGGTTCGGATGCAGATTTAAATGAAATTAAGCAGCAATTGGAATCAAAAATGGGTACTCAAGAATTGCAAGAAAAATTAACTCGTGCTATATCAAGAATTTCAGAAAGCCAAAGTGAATCGGGATCTATAACTGATAGAAGATCATTAAATGGTTCTCTCAAGAGGTAAAATTAATTATAACAAGTTTATGATCATTAAATTATATGAAATAAGGATTATATTTATATAAACATCTTGTATCGTTTGCATAGGCAATATTCTACAGAAAGTCAACAGTCTGTAAACTTATTATCTGGGAAAAATATAAAAGATAAAGCTGCATTACAACCGAAGAAAGGTGAAAAATTAATTGAAATAGAGAAGGCTGAAACTGGCAGTGTAAGAGAAAATTATTTAATACATACAAATATATATTATAAATGAGATTATTTTATTATTAGAAAATGTTTAATATTCATTTTTAAATTAGGTCAAGTGGAAAGTGTATTCGCATTATTTTAAATCTATCGGATGGTTCCTATCTATATCAACGATAATTATGAATGCTGTCTTCCAATCGTTTAGTATTGGATCAAACGTTTGGCTGAGTAAGTGGTCAGATGATAATATGACTTTAGTGAATGGTACAGTTGTAAATGAAGAATCAAGACGAGACATGTATCTTGGAGTATATGGAGCTCTTGGTTTTGGGCAAGGTATGTTAGAAAAACGACATTAACTTCATATTTTATTTTTTACAATTGACAGATAAGGTATCGTTTATTTCTTATTAAATTTACGTATTTTCATGGAACTTTAATAATTTTCCATGGAAGTATATTTATTTATTATTCAGGTAAGCATTTGTATTATCGTGTATATATATATATATATATTATTATTATTATTATTATTATTATTACTATTACTATTACTATTAATACAGAAGCCAATTCATTTGTTTGTGTCATTAACAAATTATAATTTTGACTCGTGCTGTTTCATAATTGTATTATTGTACAAAAAGGGCATGTTCCTATATATATTTTTTATGGGGATATTTATGTCCGTATAAATTTAATATAAAACTTATGCATTCAGATAAAATTTCTTTTGTCGATACTACATTTTAAATTATATTTCTTTTTTATTTTATTTATTTATTTTTTTATAACAATTTAGTTTGTGATTATACTCCAAAATTATTTCTGAAAACAAATTGCCACACATTACTAAAAAATTTATGTTAATCAAATGTTGAGTTCTAATTAGTAGTGCGAGTGTGGTTTGCTGTGTCAATAAAGCATTATTATAATGTTCTTATATCGTAAAACTTCTGCTTTCTAGTAGCATATGTTTGACCACAAATATGTTATTATTGATATCTATTAACTAAATCTATTTTGCATGTATTTTTCGTTTACATTTTTTACTTAAAATATTTTCAATTTCTTATAACATAGCATAGAGAAATTTAAATTTAAGTTTAGATATTTTTCAATAGAATTTGAAGCTTAGTATTAAATATGAGCATGAAGTAGTTGAATAACAGATTTGACATATATATTTATATTTGTATATTAAAAGATATAAAATATTCTTCTATAAACAAAGATGGATGTGTTTTAAATACTAAATCATGGATATATATGTTTCTATGTTTTTAATAATCAGAAACTAAATATGTTTCCGTAGTTAATATTGAAATTATTTTGCAACTGGAGTACTACTATCAATAATATCAGCAATTTGTTGCACAGACTTATGTTGTAATTTTCAAATTACTAACAAAAAAGTGACGTTTAAATTATTTCTAATATTCTAAATGTATACACAAAATATACAAAATGTATATAAAAAGGCTTCTGTTTACACTTTATCACAAAAATTGGGCAGATATTTCTACATTCATGATATTAAATTTATAATTGGTATATACTTTTAATATTGACGTTATTTATCAAATAAAAAAATTATATTATATTATTATATTATATATACATATCAAAAAAAAGATGAACGAAAAATTATATCTTAAGAATTTGTTATAAGCGATATAACAATTACATTTGTAGCAATAAGTTCCAATTAAATTTCAGCGACTTTTGTGATGCTTGCACAGCTGACGTTGGTTATTGGCAGTTTAAAAAGCAGTAAATTGCTGCATTCAGAATTGTTATTTGGCATACTGCGATCACCTGTCGGATTCTTTGATACTACTCCATCTGGCAGAATATTAAATCGTTTTGGAAAGGACATTGATATATTAGACAACGTTTTGCCACCAAATATTAAGGCCTGGTTCTTTTGTCTAATGTCGGTATGTGAGATTTCAAATTAATCTCACAAAGTAGATGAAATTTTTGGTCGTTTTATTAAAAATTTTACACCTATGTTGCTTCAAAAAAATGTTTAAAAATCACTACTAAGAACAAAGGTCCACCAATGGGTACATATGTGATTAATTCATAAAAGCAAAATGTAGGAAAACTGACATCTTAAGTTCTATTCTGTTTTTTTATTGTAGTTTTTCGTTTTAATAGCTATTTTATTATAGATATAAATAGACTAATAGCAAATAGAAATTGTAGTAACAAATTATGTAGCTTTTCATTGTCGATAGTGCGATAATTAGTTAATTCTGCTTTGTTCGATCGCTATATTATTTATTTCGTGCTTTTATAGTAACATTGCACAGCAATACTATATTCCTTGTTCTTTTCATTTGTAATGCACCTGTATTATTCATGTGTGATTGCAATAAGGAACTTGTACATTATACTGGACAGGTGATACGCTGTAATCAAAAATATTACTCATATATATTTTTACTTTCCTTTTCTTTTTTTATGTCATCAAATTCATTATGAAGTGACGTAAATGTTAATATAATTTGCCAATTTAATATCTACCAAAGTTGTCACCAATCGTTGTAGGCCTGACAGTACTTGGAATGGCGTTTTTCGTGGCAAAGGGGATGGTAATCGCTTCCACGTCTCTCTTCCAAAAAACAATGCGCCATGTTCTTCACAACCCGATGTCGTTCTTTGACCAAACACCAACTGGTCGCATTCTTAGTCGACTCGGTAAAGACATCGATGTTGTTGACAATATTCTACCAGCCATACTGCATTCTTGGATCACTTGTCTCTTTCGGGTATGATATTTTTCACGTTGAAATTACAACGTTTAACAAATATTGATTCTTAAAAATTTATTACAAATGAAGATCATTGTTCTAATTAGTCAATTATGTTGTCGACTTATTATAAGCAAATGCTTATGGATTTTAATGTGCTAATTGGGGCAACATTTTTTCCATAACTTATCATTTTCTGTCAAAAATTATACCAACATTTAATTTCCAAATTTATTCTTCAGATTTACCTTTAACTTACATATAATGTCTATAAAAAGAAAAACAAAAGTGTATTGGTATTCTCTTATTGCTATTATTTTTTATTTATATTATGTGGATGGAAATGAATCATTTTTAACGTTTTACGTAACTATTTTTTATTACACTATATGTATTTAGTTCTATTTTAAAATTACTCAGTGACAATTTTAGGATTAAATTGTTTTAATTAGTTATTACACACAACAATACACATTAGCTTTAAAAATTGGGTCAATCAACTTATATCATTGCATGTTGATCGCTGGTTCTATGAATTTTTTTTCCCATTTTTTTCTATTTCATATTAAGGAAATGAATAATATTTATATAGATTGCATAATATATTTTTCATAGTTAGATTATAACGAAATTATATTAGTTCATGATACTGAACCACTTTAATAATATCGTTTGTTGTTCCATATTTGGAGAATGAAATTCAATTCTTGTTTGTTTGAGCAATATATAAATAATCAGATAACTTTTAATATTATAATATATAGAAAACATCAAAATATTACAACAATATTTCCAATACTTTTAAATCAACGATTAGTATGCCAAAGATGTCAGTTTCTTATTGAAAGAGTAATGGGAATTTTAATTAGATTCATTTAGGAAAAATTAATTGAACAAATACTTCTTACATTCTTTTTTTCGGGAGGGTGCAATATTCATCAATAGAACATATTAATATACACAACAATATCATTATTATTTTGATATTAATGATTGAAAATCTATTTTATTACAAACATTATCTAAATAAATTTATTTATTGATACTATTATCATTGGGCCACATATGAAATATAAGAAACATATATAATTATATATAAAAAAAATATTTAAGATATGCATGCACTATATTATAAAACATTAAAAAACATTTGAAAATAGTATCTAGTAAAAATCAAATTCATACTCATATTTCATTTGTAAATATATCATCGGACACACATCTTAAATTTAATTAATATGCTAATATATTAAAAAAAAAAAATGTTATTGTATTTTAAATATGTGTAATTTAGCAATATTGTAGCAATTAAGGTTATGGACACAATTATACAAGTAATGTATTTATTTAAAGGTAAAAGTAATGCTTGTGCTTGTTGTATTTTTTAATACTGTATATTTGCTTGCACTGTTTTTACTGCCTTTTAGAAAACGTCTCTTTTCAAAATTCACAATCAGTAAAGATAGTTCCTGTCTTTAAAAGTAACATTATAATATTATTAATTACATTATTTTTCAATATTACATTCTAATAATGTTAATTCATAAAATAGGAACTATCTGCATTTTTTCTGCTCTGTTATTAAAAATATATTATCGTTATATTTATGTACTTCGCATGTCACAGCAAACTTCACCCCCTCGCATAACATGAGACGAATAATAATTAAAATAGATAACAATTTCAGTTAGATAACTTTATAAAGAAAATAATCTTTATTTTTATATATCAAATCGTTACTTTTATTATATTCATTATTTATAATGTGGCTTATGAAAAAATTGTCAAAAATATTGTTTTTCAAGATATTATTATCAAAACTTATTAATATTAATCAATGAATACAATTGATAAAGTTCTGTCTGTTGAAAATATACGTCTGTAATTTTGTTAAAATCTTACTTATGTTTATGTAATATAGCATTGGATCCTTGAAATTTTTGACCATCCTCAATATGGTTACAATGAAAGCTATCAATGTCTGATGTTGTAGCGATGGCGAGTTTTTTCTGCGATTTGGCACCTCAGCTGGGTTGCTGGCTGGCTGCTCGCCAGATGCATATAATGATGCTGCGTGCTGTGATGCGTGCTCCATTGACCTTCTTTGATACAACACCTACTGGTCGTATTATCTCCAGGTTTGCTAAAGATGTGGACATACTGGATACATCTCTTCCTCCACAAATTTCTGATAGCATCTATTGTCTTTTCGAGGTAATTTTTGGAAGAGATCTGAAATCCAAAAAAATTAACTTCTTCAATGTGTTTGATATTATTTTTCTATAGATTTTCTTGAACAATGACTCAAGTGATTCTTCTTCGTTACCTTCAAGTAGGAATTCAATATTTATGTCTTATCTTATTATATTTTTATTTGAAAGCACTAGTACATATATATACATATATACAGATATTTGAATTCCAATGAAATATTTTATACAATGATTCTAATTATTATTTTTTCTATAATTTAAAAAAATAAAATAACGTGGATAATGAAATTTATATGCTATTAAATTGTTATCTGTATTTTGCATTTTATGGATCGACTCTGTAGTAGTTTTATATGTATATTTATTCTTTGTAAGAATTGTACAAGTATAATTGTGTCCGCTTATTGTGAGTCCTATTTATTATGAAAATGTACGCGTACTCTCTGGATGTGTTCCTGTGATATACAATGGGTGACAGGGTAAAATTACATGAATTTGAAATATATATTTTTTATATGTGTAATATGTGTGTGTATATATATGTACACATATTACACATATATATTTATGTATGTATGTGAGTGCATCTAAGAAGGGTAATAACTGTGTTTAAGGTACATGTTGGTGGACCTGTGGCATATATTTATCAATTGTGTTCTGCCATGCTATGGGTGTCTGGAAAGACATGGGTGTTTTATTTTATCAGATTGTGCATGCGTAATATTTTTATCTTTCTTATGTGAAGTTACTTTTCTTTTCATTAAAAGTATTATAAATTATGCCCATAATATTATTCATATTATATTATTATTTTAATTTCTTGTCTTTATTTCTTAATCAATAGTTTTTATATACATGCAGCAATAAATATTTTGTTTTTCTTTTCAATAGAGACAAAATGTATTAGCTTAATTAAATTATTTGAAATTATATATTCCTATTACAGGTAATAGCAACTCTCTTCGTTATAAGCTTCAGTACACCAGAATTTGTTGCTGTGATCGTACCAATAGGATTTATTTATTACTTCATACAGCGTTTTTATGTCGCCACTTCGCGACAATTAAAACGTTTGGAATCTATATCAAGATCTCCTATATACTCACATTTTAGTGAATCTGTAACTGGTACGCAAACATTTTCTACTATTTATATTCTTTCTCAAAAATACATGAAAATATAATTTAATACATGTGTTTTAATATATGGATTAAAATAAACATATACTTTAATTTTCAGGAGCTCAAACAATTAGAGCATTTGGTGTACAAGAAAGATTTATACATGAATCAGAAAGTAAAGTAGATTTTAATCAAATTTGTTATTATCCTGGTATAATTGCAAATAGGTTGGTATACATACATTGAATACTTAATAATTTATAAGTTTAAAAATGACATATTATTGTAATAAGATATGTAATACTTGACGTAAATGTTATAGATGGCTTGCAATACGTTTGGAGATGGTTGGAAATTTAATTATATTCTTCTCAGCATTATTTGTTGTATTAGGAAGAGATACTATTAGTGCTGGTTTCGTCGGATTGTCTGTCAGTTATTCTTTACAGGTAAGATAATTTTTATATATAAAAGTAAATAATTTGTTATCACTATTATTCCACCTTAATTAAGTTATGTGTTATGTTATTTTATTTAAAAAAAAAGATATGATTTAAATTGGATGTTATATTGCTTTTCAGATTACACAAACTTTGAATTGGCTTGTACGCATGACCTCTGATGTAGAAACAAATATTGTAGCAGTAGAAAGAATAAAAGAATATGGCGAAACTCCCCAAGAAGCACCTTGGGTAGTTCCAGAAACTGCTCCTCCAAAAGAGTGGCCTGTAACCGGTCAAGTTGAATTCAAGGATTACAAAGTCCGTTATAGAGAAGGATTAGATCTTATTCTCCATGGTTTAACATTTACTATTAAGGGAGGAGAAAAAGTTGGTATCGTTGGTAGAACCGGTGCTGGCAAATCTTCCTTAACATTATCATTATTTAGAATACTTGAAGCAGCAGGTGGAAAAATTATTATCGATGGTGTTGATGTTGCTAAATTAGGTCTTCACGATCTTAGATCTAAATTGACCATCATACCGCAAGATCCAGTATTATTCTCTGGCACTTTGAGAATGAATTTAGATCCATTCGATCAACACACGGACGATGAAGTATGGAGAGCGCTGGAACATGCTCATCTTAAATCTTTTGTGCAAAGTACTAACAAAACATATTATTCAACTTACATATAGATACAATCTTTTATATAATCATATAACATTTGTTTTATCTTATTTTAATTGTAATTTGTAGATCTACTTAATGGCTTGTTGCATGAAGTATCCGAAGGGGGTGATAATCTCAGTGTGGGCCAACGACAATTAATATGTTTAGCACGAGCCCTTCTTCGTAAAACCAAAGTTCTTGTATTAGATGAAGCAACAGCTGCGGTTGATTTAGAAACAGATGATTTAATTCAAAGAACAATTAGGGAAGATTTTAAGGATTGCACAGTTTTAACAATAGCACATAGGCTTAACACAATTCTGGACTCTGATAGGTAAATATTATGTACTTATGTGTTAGATTTTATTTACGTTACAGAAATAATTCATAAGTTATATATTTTTACAGAGTTATTGTACTGGATAAAGGACTCATTATTGAATATGATGCTCCTGAAGTGCTGCTACGAAATTCATCTAGTGCATTTTATAGCATGGCAAAAGATGCAGGTCTGGTAGCTTAATAATTACATGTACATCACGATAATTTGATAGACTATCAAATTAATCAAATAAAACAAAGGTTTTATTAAATAAATCCTCCCATCGAAGGAAAAATTCATTGATAAAGCTGTGAACAAATTATAATCATTATAATTTACACTATACTCTATCTATATATATGTATATATAGATAGATTTATAGGTAAATATTTTTTAAGGAAAATTAAACATCACAAATACATACACATACTTAATCAATGTCAAGCACAGCTTAATTTTTAAAATAGTTTAGATACATGTTTGTTATTTAAAATTACTGCCATTTTTAGTAGTGCATGGATGATGCACTTAATGGGGAAAAAACATCTACTTATAGAAACAATTATTGCTATAACATTCTTCTTTATGTTTTAGCACAAAAGATAATTATTTTCAGTATTAATGTTATTTATTATTTATGTTTACAAATCTTGCAGCAGTTAATTTCTAAGAAAGATTTGTTCAACATTGAATTTTAAACTAAACAAATTCCTATAACATACAAAAATAGTATATTTAATTCCGTTATATAAATTAAAGTTCATTTGTCAAATTTCTTATATATATATATATATACACACATTACAAAAAATGAACAAATTTCAATGTTTTATAATATATTTAACAGATTTCATTTATAATAACTATTATTTATCAACACAGCAACATATCAACATAATTAGTTGTACTGTAAAAAGTTTAATTTGCTATTATTAATATATATAAAATAAACAGAAAAATAAAATATATATATATATATGATACATCACTATACTTTTATGACAAATAAACTTTAATTTACTAACAAATTTCATTCTATGTAAACGATGATGATAATTTATATTTATACTTGAAAATATTTTGATTCACTATTATCTTCTAACTATTATATTTTGAGTGATTGATAAATGATACGAATGCTTTGAGTATATTTGACATCAAATCCATCTAATGCTGCATTTTATAAAAAAAATTCATATGCATTAAATTAGCACAATACAAGCAATAAACTAAAATATTTTATATCATGCAGTTGAAAGTTAAATAATGGTGTGGCATTGGAAGGATTTATAAAAGACTACAATAATACAAAACAAAATGTTTTATTTTCTTGCAAGCTGGTAAAATAATTACAAAAATCCTGTACATACGTTCAATTTTGTAGATAACATACATTTATACATTTCTTTATCGCAGAATAATTAACGTATTATTTACCATAGCATTTATGTACGACATATTAGATTTAACAAAACGTTACAATGCATTTAAAAATACCTCAGAAATAATATTCTTTAAATAATAAGTGAATTATAGAAGAGCAATAGAATCGAATTAATTTTAAACGTTCACACATTTTAATAAATAAATGTAGTTTTCTTTCTTTGTTTAATAGAAATTTTTTAATGCGATTATATATATTGTCAATAAATTTAAATCAATTAAAATCAATTGAATTTGATTCATAGAATCAATTCAATCAATATTTATTGAACGAATATATTTGATTTTAAATGATTATCACAGTTTTATTATTCCCCAATGTTCATAGATATTTGAATTATAATTATGTTATTATTAATCGCTTTGATTGTAAACATTAAAATAATTAACAATATTATTATACATTTAAAATATCGCATAATATTAAAGGATAATTCATTTCTTTTTAAACAATGAAAAGAAAGTAAATCCTATTGCGAATCATAGTTGTACAAATAAGACATTCTGCTTTAAAGTAAATGTATAAACGTGATCATAGTGTTATCTTCCTTTCATTATAATAGAAAATAAGATTTAAATATAAGAAATTAGATATACATCCATAACATAAAAATCGCATCTCAATTTGTTACCAACAAAAAAAGCAGCAGTTAAAGATCTTCGTAGTTAGTTAACGTCACTTATGATTATTAATTTTTCCAGGAAATTAAACATAAAACTTATCACAAATGTTTTTAAATTGATGCTCGAACTCGAAGCACAGACTGTGATGTTGCATTATGTTTTATTGAAACCTCTGTTATGTCAATATATACAATCATTTTCAGTATATTTATTTTCAATTTCTCTGTCTATTTTTATGAGTCACATATCCCGTGATTTTTGACAAATATTTTATGCAGGTAGAACACTAATCTTTATAAATGTGTCAATTTGTTTGATGATATTAATAGTAATTATAATAATAGTAATAATAATGATGATGATGATGATAGTAGCAATGTAAAAGAAGGTCACATATTTAAATAGTTGTAATATCAAAATATAAATATGAATTTATTATGTTTATGAGAAATAATGCATTTGTATGCAGTTTTGTAATAGCAGGCCTAGTCTACCTTAATAATTCGATAAATATGTATATATACAACTCAGGATGAAAGTACTTTATTTACAATCTGTTGTTACAGAAAAGATACATCACATATACATTCATAGACATATACATACACAACAAAATTGAATTTCTTTTAAAATAACAAGCACTTGTACTATCTATCTATATGATACGAGCAGAAGGAAAATGTGCCTTCTCATAATAAATATCTAATTATTATCTAACTTAAATAATAACTCTATCTACTTACTATTCATCTGTGAATATGTAATACGTTTAGATGAATATATTGTTTCTTTTTTTTCTATATTTTATTTGCTAATTAAGCTAATAATTAACATAATAATGCATACTTGTAGCGTCAGAACAAATATATGAGAATAAATGCCAAAGTTTTTAACGTTAATTGTAAAATTATTATTAAAGTTGTTCTCTATATCTGCATAAAAAATAATAAACAAATTTTGATGTAAAAAATAAAATTTGAAAGATAAAAATTCAAGCGAGGAGACGGCCTGTGAACATTTTTTCAAAAGTTTTATTTATACGCATAAGATATTTTCAAAACAAACAAATACAGTATTGTTTACCGCAGAAAAGTTGGCATAGAACCTCAACAGCAGAAAAAAATGAATAAGTACTCTTAATTGTAGATTAATTGCATATTTAAAATCTATAATTGCACACTTTATTAATTAATTATTTAATTAGTTATAAGTAATAGAATATGCAATAAGAAGTTTTCTATTGTTTTTTGTTTTCAATTAATTACTCACTTTTTGTTTGTCCGTTTTTCTCCGGTCTTTCTAGCTCCAATATGATATCGGTTTGTTTTTTAATTACCTGTTCTAAGACAATTGTTCTTAACGAGTAAACTCTTTTAATTAATAATTAAAACAAAATATCTAGACTAGATTTATAATTGTTGTTTGTTTTTAAATGTATATAGAATTTAATTACATAGTCACTTTGTGTACACTACTTGCCATTAAAAGTTACTAGGAAATAAAAAAGTTTAAAATATATTAAAATTCTAGTAACATGGCTAAGCCGATATCGGTAATAGTAGTGCTCTACCTTTATCCTTCCGACCGAGATCTGATGGTAACTTACTGATAATTAAAAAGGACAGAATTAAGATAAGGAAGTAGGCCATTTAATAAACCTTGAAATGTTAGAGATAATATTAATTTATTAATATTAAATGTAATATTTTTTGTAGAGAATGATGAATGATTTGTTTTGAAATTTGCAATCAGAGCCATTTTAAATGGGAACACATTTATATATTAAAAAAGAACTTTTAACAAAAAATTACTTACATTTATTTTAATTGTATTATTTATTGACGCGAGATAAAAGATATATATTACGAAACAGAAAAGAGTATTTTTCTCGGCGAGTAATAATAAATATTATAATAACATGAGATAAATGCAACATCACTAATAATCAGTAACTTCAATTGAAAAAAGCTGCTTGAAATTTTTATATAAAACACGATTAATACTTTCCCACACAACCTTAATGATAAATATTGTTTTTAATATTTTTATTTTATTTTTATTTTTTCTATTACATGCATAATTCGCCATAGATTTTTTTAATTGTATATCTACCTGATATTGTTAAAACGTTTGTCAAATAGTATCTGAATTATATGTGAATCTTCGTAGCGTATACAATTCCATTTATAAGCTTATTATTATCATCCGATAACTAGAGTACTTAAAAAATAACAATATCAGGGATGAAGTTTTTAGGCATTAATGAAACTGGAATATAGTCATAAACATTTGATTATGAAATCGTGTGTCCAGAACGGAAAAAAAATCGAATTGGATATGCAAAATGTTTATTTCAATATAATCTCAATTTTTGTTTATCGAAAGGAGACACAATTTTAAATTCGATTAGCTTTTGCGATAAGAAAATCCTTTGTTATAAGCAAAAAACAAAGAAAACAAAATGTAACGTTAATTACACGGTAAAATATGATTTGCGGAATTGCGTAATAATATGCAAATAATTGGCGTTCCCTTTTCTTTTTATTTCTCTTTCATCCTCCGTTGATTTTTTTGTGAGTAAAAACTTGTGAGTAAAAAGGAAGCACAAACAAAAGATAGTAATGGGTGAATAATAATGGTATCTACTAGACATAATATAACAATAACGTGGTATAAGCATTATCATGTTCTATACTTATGTATATATATACACGTAAGAGTAATTATGGAAAGACACACGATTGTTTGTAAAAAGATAGAAAAAATTTATTATTAGTTAATCATTGGATCAATTAATATTATTTCATCTTTTTAAGAAAAATAACACGCGATGCTTTTTATTACAAAATTTCTTAATATATAATAAACATTTAATTGAGTAATAATTTGAAATATATATGTGACAAACAAAACAATCTCCGAGATATATCGGCTTTCAAATTTGCATTTAATCGTGCTTATATTTTCATATGTAAAAATATAGTGTATAAAAATGTTATATATATATATATATATATAAATATACACATATTATTAAAAAAGTAGATGAGCATGCAACAAATGATAAAAAGTTATCTCGTATCAAGCTTTTTCTTTCTGTCTGTTTGTGATAATAAGAATCACGAAAGTCTGCCCCCTGAAACACTTACATTAGTCTCCTATAATTGAATATAAACACCAAAAATGATTCTTTTATATCAATGTGTTTGTGATCAAGAATAAACCTTTCATCGGTAGATACCAATTATGAAAAACACAAAAAAATGAATGATTTTTCCTAAGTTTTTTTTTTTTTTTCAAATCACGATTAGAAAACCAAATTTCTATTGTATTATTATTTTATTTGATCTTTCTTTTTTTTTTTTTAACGCGTGACGACAGTGAAACCGATTAGAAAAAAAAATTAGAAACAAAAAATGATTGCAAATGATTAAATTGAAATGAGAAAATTTTAATGCGCGTTTATAATATCGAGAGTATTGACTGATGTTGATGACTGCGCTTCACGTTCTAACTTCATGTATCTGGCGAGGTGTTAGCATTCAAAGGGTCATTTTAAAAGGTTATCACCTTCGTAAAGATGAAAAAGTAGGGGGATTTTTGTTCGAAGACGAATCAGTTGGTCGTCATCGATCTACCGAGTACGACGGGTATAATCTTTTCGGCATCCGTTCTAACACACACATGCACAGACTCATTCATACACATACACACGCACACGCAAGGATCCATATCTACATGTACGCATATACAACAGACATTCATCTCAATGAATTTATTTGATATTCATTGATCAATCCGAGAACTAGTTGTTCGATACAATTAATTAAGAAAATTATTAAACAAGTTTTAGTGAGTTTATTTGTTTCTTTTTTTTTTTTTGAAGTTCGAATTATTTTGTCGACTGTCGCGTTCGAAATGAAGTCTATAGAAAAAACGAAGAACGTTGGAAAGGACGAGACGAAGTTTTTACAAAATTGGTACATTTGGGCCATAATAATGGCAGGATTGACTAGTCTTTTATTAATTGTGATATTTTGGTGTACAAACATTTTTCAAAATATCATATTGTCAAATTTGATAATACAAAATGGTACTAGAGCGTTCGAATATTGGATACGTCCTCCCGTCCAATTGGTACAAAATTTTTATATTTACAATTACACGAACGTAGACGATTTTGAAAGTGGTAAAGCTAACAAATTGAGAGTACAACAATTGGGACCGTACATTTACGAGGAAACTTTAACGCGTATTAATACACAGATACACGAAAATGGTACGATTAGTTATCAAGAGAAGAAATTGTTTAAATGGGAAGGAGGAAATTCTGAGAATGATATAATCATAGTACCTAACATATTATTTTTAGCGGTTCATTCAGTCATACGTAATTTAAATTATGCTAGTCAATTTATATTTAACTTCGCCATGTCCACTTTGAACATCAAACCTTTCATTAATATCACAGCCGGTGGTTATCTTTGGGGATACGATGACGATTTTTATGATCTTCTGAAAACTTTTGGATACATACGTAATCCTTCCGACAAATTTGGTATTCTAATACAAGTAATTATATATTTTTTTTATGTTATACAACATATATTTTTCAAACTTTCCAAGAATTAATTTATAATTGTCATTTTTTACAATAATATTTTGGTGTTATACGATTAATATTTCTTTAATTTTATAATTACATTACGTAAGTGAGTTGTTTCATTTGTTAAGATTAGATTTTTAGTTTTATGTTAGTTTATTACTAAATATATTTTTTCTTCTTCTTCTTCTTATTCAAAATAACAATCAATAAATTAACCGTACTGATATTTAAATAATTTTGCCGATCTCTCGATAGGGTTCTGTATAATTGTCTGGGTTATCCGAAAAAAAAAAGTGACAATGATTTTGTTTTTCCTTATTTTAGAGCCATGGAGTCTTGAAAGATCGTTTAATGATAAATACGGGCATCCATGATATGGACAATCTTGGTATCATTCAAGGTATCAATGGGAAAAATATTTTAAATATTTGGGGGGACGAGGAATGTGATAAAATTGCTGGTACAGATGGTTCCATGTTTCCACCTAAATGGATTAAAAATCGAAATATTCCTTTGCACGTATACATTAAGGAATTCTGCAAGACATTCAATTTTAATTTTCACGAATACAGCAATGTCCAAGGTGTACCTAGTTTCAAGTAATTATAATTATGATGTATTTGTTTATAAAAAAAAAAACAACAACAACAAAAAAACAAAACCAAAAAGAAAATAAATATCATCTAACTAACGTCATTATCTTATCTTAAACAGATACAAACTGTCATTGGATTCATTTCAAGAATCCTCAAAGGAGACGTGCTTTTGTCCGAAAATAACATTGAATTCGAATGAAAGAAAGTGTCCGCCAATTGGTACATTAAACATTTCGACGTGTTACGAAAATTTACCGATAATCTTATCGTTGCCGCATTTTTATGGGGCTGACAAATCATTGATAGAATCTATCGATGGTTTGAAACCCGAACAAAATCTTCACGAAAGTACCTTGGATTTGCATCAGGTAAAAAAAACATTTCAATTTTGTTCTTCTTCAGAAAAATATTAAACGATATTATGTTATGGTCCAACAAATGTGTCTTTTGTATTTTATTTTCTTTTATTTTCTCTATATAAATTTTAGTTTTTGGCATTGGTAATGAACGGGACGTTGAGAATGCAATTAAACATGGAATTCAAAAAAGTTTTTGGTGCAGCCTATTCGAATAAACTTAAGGACAATTTGATATTACCATTGATATGGAGTGAAAGTACATTAGACGTGCTTCCCGAAGATTTTATTAATGAATTTTACGACGCACATTTCGCGAATACAATAATCGAAGCTACATTTAGATGGGGTAGCACTTTTATATTTTTAAGTTCGATTTGTGCGCTTTACCTTATTAAAAGGAATCATTATATAGACCGATCCAATGTGTAGAAATATGTTTCTGATTAAGAAACAAGATAATAGAATAATGATGAACTTTCGAGAATAAATTTCTTTTCTTTTTTTTTTCTTTTTCTTTTTCTTTTTCTTTTTTTATTTATTTCAACTAGCGTTCGCTTGCGAATGAACGTGGAGTATAAAATGCGAGATTTTAGAATTTTCATCTTTTAAAAAATCGTTTAAGTTCGACAAGTTTGTGTTAAATACGAAGCTACACAAATACATCCTTTTTACTATTACTTAATAATAATAATAATAATAATAATAAGATTTAACATTAATATTAGAGTTAATTTTTAATATACTATTGTAAATATTTGTAAAGTAAAAAAA